CCCCAACGCACACACAAACACGCACGCGCACGCACGTGTTGGGGTAAAATACCCAGCTTTCACGCACCCTCTCACTCTCTACAACACCCCAGTGGAAGTGGAGAAGGCTACAAGTCTCGTAGGCTACGTCGTGGCCACGAAGCATAGGCTACATGAACACAGCGGCGCTACTGCTGCTGCTAGTGCTAGCCTAACTGCTGGCTGCAACTGCTGCTGTGACATTCATTCACAGGTCAGAGGGGCTGACACAACACACGACACTACACACGCTGACACACGGCGAGGAGAAGTTCCCCCACAGAGCGACGATGTCTTCCGTCAGCGTTCAGTTATCTTCGGACTTTGGTTATGTTATTCTCACGGCGGCAGCGGGGTGGGTTTTCCTTCAGTACTTGGCGTGGAATGTTATCAAAGCGAGAAAGAAGTACGACGTGCAGGTAATTCGTTGTTGCTCCTCTCCTGATTGTCACACAACAAGTTCTCGTACTTTGTCCTTCCGTATCCTTGGCTGGGTTTTTTTGGTTTGTTTATTGTTGTTGGGTTGTTGTTGGGTTGTTTTTTTTGGGGGGGGGGGTTGGGGAGGGGGTTGATAAGATTGATAATTAAATGCGAACTCCAGAACCAAGCAGCTCGCATAATTTTAAAGAAATGTCTCAAAGAGCATATAACACCAATGCTAGTTCAACTACATTGGCTCCCGGTGAAAGCACGAATTCAGTACAAAATAATTGTTGTTTGTTTTAAGTGCGTCAACAACATTGCACCATCATATCATATCTCTGTGACATGGTCATCGAATACATACCATCTCGGCCTTTAAGATTGGCGACGAAAAGATTTTTAAGACCTGTCCAAAGTTAAAGTCAGAGACTAGGAGGGAGAGCTTTTTCACACCACGCCCCCTCCTTGTGGAACGCTTTACCAGCTCATCTACGGGAGTCCACCACTTTATCAAAATTTAAATCGGCACTTAAAACGCATTTGTTTCAGTCCAGCTTTAATCTGTAATTTCCAACATTCCCAATACAAATAGTATTGTATTCTCTCAGTATCTATTATGTTCTCTCAGTATCGTTTATTCATGCTGTTCTGTTCTGTAAGAATTTATGACTGTGAATTCATCAATGTGTGCGAATGTGTCGGGGTAAGCTTTGTGGGATTGTCTTTACTCAAGGATGTACTGGAGAGAGAGAGAGAGAGAGAGAGAGAGAGAGAGAGAGAGAGAGAGAGAGAGAAAGAGGAGTACTATAGGAGCTGTGCGCTTCATATTATGTTCTTTGTATTATTGTACAGCGCATTGAGCACTTCTTTGTGGAAATGCGCTATATAAATGCAATTTATTATTTATTATTTTATGATTAAAGAAATTGCAGAAAGACAAAAAATAATTGAACATTCATCTTTAAAAGGCCTGCATAGCAATCAATCACCATGATATCGATCTAGTAGATCTATGAGGAAATTGCAAATGCAATAAATGTGCATGAAATGTTTAAAAAGTAGCACGACATATAGGTACAGTTCGTTCCCTTTCGTCTGCCCGCGGTTCAAACGAGATAAAGACAAATCACTAATCAAAAGTCGAATGACCCACAGAATCTATCCATTAATGAAGGCTATAGCAACATTAGTTTCTGACACGTTTTCTTTGATGTCAGCGTAGAGTGGGTTATCAAATAATAGGTGTTTTACAGCACACCCGAACAACATTATTCTGACCTATTTTGATCAACACCGCTCCTTAGCGCACGCCTGGACCAGACAGTCACGGCCGTGACGAAGACCAGAGAGTTTTTATAGTGTTACTGTAAACACTCTCTGCTAGAACACGGTCCAACAACTGGGTGAATAAATGGTATAGCTTTAACGCCCTGATCAACACTATTCATCAGCATCTGGTGCCTTGCTGACTGGCGTGGGCGATCATGGACCTCCATTTTACTCTGTCTTGCGTTTGCAGCAGTGGTGTCTGTGTTGTCCTTGCTGCTCCTAGCCATGTTGTCATCTTGTCCAGTATATTTTCCATCTGTCTGCCTATGCCTCTCTTTCCATCAAACTTGCCTGTTGTTACAATGCTTTTTTCCGCATTGTGTGTCCGAAGAAATTTGCCTGTAGCTTTCTTCTATTCGTCAAAGGCTGTCTTCTGCAATTTGCTTCATCCAAGACTTCTTCATTTGTACACTGTCTCTGCTATTAGGTTATAAGAGGCCGGGGCCTCCGAATTGAACCTTCTACTCTGAAAGGCCCGAGCCAAGTGCGAATTTCGAGTAAAGTGCCTTTCCCAAGGACACAACGTCGGACCGGACCGAACAATATCACGATAACGAGTCCGGAAGCCTAACCACTTGGCCACCGACAATCTCACGATTACGAGTCCGGAATACGGGGTGCCCACGACGGCTTGATCGGGCCGATCGCCCGACTCGATCGCCTGAAACTGAAAACAAACACGTTTGCTGTTTAGGTGACCGAGTCGGGGCGATCGGCCCGATCGACCGATCCCAGCCATAGTGGGCACCCCGTATAACCACTTGGCCACCGACGCCACCTAAGAACCGGGTGAATACATGTTGATCTACTTTTCGAGACGTACGTGTTGACGGCTATAGCTCTTATAGATCTTGATCAGGTCCATAGTTTCGTCCTCCTCCTAGCAAACGAAGCTTGCCATGGGAGGGAGGGGCGAGCTATGTGTCAAGTCTGTGCTAGATGCTTTCCTGTGACCGTCTTGGAGACCGGGGGTGCCTCAATTTCTTGCAAAGCCCCCCCCCCCCCCCCCCAAAAAAAAAAGCCTTATTGTTTGTCAGTGGATGACAAAGACAAACAACAACAAAAAACAAAACAATTAAAAAACACCAAAAATAAACAACTGTACTCAAACCGGCAGTCGGCAACGGGAAACCACTGCTGTAATCTCCCAAGAAACTCATGATGAGATACCCAAATAGTTGTTACTTGAATCGACATTAAAAAGGCTTTGAATATCTTGCTCTCGCTAGAAAAATAGAAGGCAACCGAGATTAGGGAAGACCCAAAGAGACTTCTTTGGATCTTTAAAAAAAATGAACAGACGGACGACGGGCAATCACCATACATATTTATTTTATATATTAATATATATATGATATATTATATATATATATATATATATATATATATATATATATATATATATATATATATATATATATATATATACATATATATTATCTATCTATCTATATATATGTACATATATATGTAATATGATTTTAAGAGCATCCGCGAAGAGAAATGAATTGAGAACCACGAAAGAAGATGTCTGTTTCTGATCTGACACTTTATGATAATGATGATGACTATTTGTCTTTTTCTCCCTCTACAGTACCCAACTCTGTACAGCGAAAAGAGCAAGGAATTCAACTGCTTTCAGCGGGCTCACCAGCACACGTAAGGATTTCTTCCTTTTGTCTTGCATATAATGACTGTTTCCAAGAATTTTTAGACCCAAGCAACTGAATTAAATTTTGGTCGTGTTTAATTATCATTTTACCATTTCTGGGCAGAGTTAAAGTCATTGTTCACGAACTTTTACTTTTTTTTTTTACCACCCCCTTGGCTCCCTAGCCTTCTGTGAACACACACACACACACACATACACACATGGCCACTCAAAATTAACCTTTAAAAGTTAGGCTTTGCAAAATTGTACGAAATCAGAGAAACGTAAATACATGTATGTGTTCGCTCGTGTATTGAGGTGCATCAGCATTGTTGGAATAGACGTGTATTGAATACCAAATAAAAAGAGAAAATTATTGTTTCTGCAATGAACAGCATCTTTGGATGATATTTTCAAACAGATTGAAAATCAGATTTGTCTCAAATACAATTCAGGGCCTTGACTTTACATTGCATATTATGTGCTTATTAGTATGATTTTGTTTTTGTTTAGGAGCTATTGGTTTCATGTACTCCACAAAATCGTTTTTCCACACGGCTTTTTAGTAAGATTTTGGACATAATCATCTGTCATTGAGAAACAGAGGCCACGAAACTGCCATGGTTTTGGGTGGTCTGGGGTGGAATTAACAAAACCGTCTTCGTGAGAATCACCTGATGATTATGTTAGTTTAGTGGACTACATCGCGCAAGTGTTAAACATCATATCTTACCCTTGTATTCGTCATGGTGTCATTCAAGTAGGCATCGCTATGCATGACAAATCACTTTCTAACAGGGCCAATGCCACTAGACAATTCTTGGAAAGCCATATCATATCAACGTTGGAGTGTTCACCAGTAAATAGCCTCGATTTGAATCCTACAGGTATGTGAGGTCCTATGAAACAGAAACTCAACCAAAAAAATCGACTTTGCTCCCAAATACAGACCCTTTGCTTGCAACTCTCTGTGACATTTGGGATGAAATGACAGATAATTATGTCCAAAATGTAATAGAGCCGATGCCCAAAGGGTCCGTGCCCAACATAAAACCAATGGCTCCTAAGCAAAATAACAATGACAACATCTAATGTTACGTCCAAGTTTTGCGTAGTGTTTGAGATTGCTCTGTTTTTCCTTTTGTTTGAAGCTATCGAAAAAGAAATATTGTTCGTTGCAAAGACAAAATTCTCTATTCATTCGATATGCAATGTATGTCTATTCTATTAATATTGATGACTCCCAATACACGCGCGAATAAAAATTTAACTTTTCTTCGATTTCACACAATTTTGCCATGTCGGGTTTTGAGTGACCATATCTCGGGCGTTTCTTTACATAGATGCAATATTAATGTGTCAGATGATGCAAATTTAGTTAGCTTTGAATTGGTGTGCTGCCTGAGTGGGTGGTGTAAGGCTTTAACACGATGATTGGGTGATTACAGTTTCAATTTTCTTTTGGACGCCACTGTACTTATATTAGATACTACTCGTACAAATCTCTGTCACGCGGAAAATGGGGATTGTTCACAGCACTTCCTGCTTCTCACACACATTTTGCATACACACAATAATAACATAACTTACGTCACTACTAAATAATGCTCTTTTGTGGCAAAACTTGTTACCAAAAAAAAATATATAAAATTTTAGTGAACACTTCTTTTTTCCCCAAAAAGTTCTCAAAACACGCGTTCAATAAGTGTAGTGTTACGATTCGATCAAAGGACATACATTGTGTGCTTGCTTTTGAAAGCGATTTTGTCCCAGCAAATGGGACGTAAACCTTTTAAAATCTGTAGAAACCAAGGAAATGTTGATTTGTTGAGACAAACTGATACAAGTCATTGTATAAAAGCTGGAGATTCTATGTTCGATGGCTGAGGAAATTTTGACAATAAGTTGCTCCACTAATTTTTGACTGCACTGTAGTTGTGTAGTGATATGAATACCAATATTATTTTTTCTCTGCTTATTTAATTTTACTTGGATAATCCATCTGTTACACGATTGTCTTTATGTCCTGGTAAAGAGCGTGCGTGGAGCCTGTTAGTTGTGTAGGCCATACAACGAGTGTAGGGTTTTTCAGTGTTAATAAAACACGTCATCGTTTTAGTGGGAGAGACCATCATCTATGTTTGGCGTAGCGATTAGGCGCTTGGCTGTCGCGATTGCATGCAGGAGACCTGAGTTCGATTCTCGAGTGGCGAGAAAATTGTTGTCGAGTACCTCTGGTATTTCTTTTCCTAGAATGTTGTGTCCTCCTCAGTTTGGGTTGGCCCTTTGGAAGCCCACCTCCTAAATGATCTAAACTGTGTCGATGGGGGCGTAAAAATGCTTTCAATAGCTCAGCTAGCTCAGTGTGAGACAAAAGAACTGATTTGTTGAAACTGCTTCTGTGTGTGGTTGGAGGGTGCTCTGGTGTGATTTGCTCCTTCTTTCCTATCATACATCTATCGTCTTTATCCCTGCTCCTTCTTTTTTGTGTTTGTTACTCTCTTGTAAACCCTCTAATGTTCGGCACTTATGTGACCTTATTGCGTTGCAAATGCCGTAAATCTCTCACCAACCCCCCCCCCCCCCCAAAAAAAACCAACACAACTGCTTCTCTGTTCACAGACTGGAGGTGTACCCGCAGTTTCTGATATTCCTTGTGTTTGGGGGGCTTGAGCTGCCGGTAAGTTTGTTGTTTCTTCAGTTTTCTGCAATAAGCTGGTTTCAGTGTCTTTCTCAGCTTAGTTTTGTTTTGGATTTTGTACGGTTTTACGGTGCTCGCAGCAGCATAAGGTCATATGAGCGCCAAGCGGTGGATGTCAACAGAAAAGTCTTTACAAGGAACCAGGCTTACTCTGCTCACCTCTCTAGCCTCAACAGTTCAAAGTCTGCTTCGACTATCAAGGTCCCCGAAAATAACAGTTCACAAGACAGTGACAAACATACAAAAGAAGTAGAGGAAAATGACGATAGTAACAATGAGGAAAGAAAAAGCAGCAGTTCCCCCTATGTTTTTCCGGCACAGTATGAGTATGAGCATTACATTGATAAATCAGCCCATTTACAATTCTACTGTGCATATGAATATGTTAATATCCCTCCCCCCTTTGGGAATGGCCTAAAGATAACTTCAGTTGGTAGCACTGCCCCGGGGGTGGAGCTTAGTCTGACCTTAGGCTGAATTATAGATATAATACATCTAAATCATGTGAGCAAGAGGATGCCTTGGCTGGTATGAAGCGTGGTAAGATTATAAAGGTAATGCAGATTTTAGCTTTATGCGAGTGGTTGGAGGGCGCCACTGGTAGGTCCAATTTTGTAAAACTTTCCCTCTGTTGTTTCATTCTGGCTTTCTTTCTTCTCCCCAGCACTAAAAGGATGTCCATTATTGTGTCGATGTGCTTCTCTTTGCTCGAAGTAGCTTTTAGTATCGTTACCCAAGGGGGGGGAGTAAGAAAAGAGGGGTAACGTGGAATAGTGATAAAATAATACATAAGTCTGCGTGTTGTCTCGTTTGAGGGAGTGATTTAATACAGCCAGACTTGTATTATGTTAACCTTACCTGTATGTTGTGTTTTACTACCGTATTCATACGAAGTGGGGAACTCTGTGCCACCACTTTCCGAAGAGGAAATTTACGCGTTAATCCGATCCGTACGCTTTGCATGCATAGCAGTCTGTCAAAATGATTTTTTGAGAAATACGGAAAGTTTCAAAGAGATCTTCGCCCTAGAAGTATTCTAAAATGTGAAGAATACAACCCCGGGGGTACAAAATGACCCCAGGGCGTACGGTCACGATAGAGCAATTCTGGTTCACCAAGAATGGCGCCCACTATTTGACTCTGTGTGTGTGTGTGTGTG